ATTTTAAGAAAAAAATGACTTCTAAATCTAGATTTAGATTTTTTGCAGTGTTCTGGGCACTGCAGTGGCTTACAGAGGATGTTTTGCTAAATAAAACACAACCTCCAATGCAGCTGTGAACTTCACTGCTGCATATTTTGGAATGAAAAATGATCCCTGCTTTACTTCTTTTATTTCTAGGCATTAATATTAAACAAAATAAAATCTACTTTTTTTTTTTGTTTGTTTGTTTTTTTTTCACATTACATCGGATTTCATCAGCAGCGGCGCAGGAAGGTTTGGTGGGATGGACTGTTCACACTCACAGAGATAACATCAGTGTTTAAGGGACTCATCTCCACGACGTTGGCTTCGTAAGGCTCGTCTCGCCACAGCGGGGCGTTGTCATTGATGTCAAGGATGGTGATGTTCACCTACAGTAAGATAAAGACAAAAGGAATCAGTCATGAATTAATATTAATGCGTACTAAGGATGAAATTAATTACAGTGACATCAAAACAAAGTTATTTTTGTCCAAAATAGGACCTGGATGGAAATGTTAACATTTTAGGCCTCTACAGCCATTTATTTTAATCTGATTTCTACACACCTCACCACCAATGACATTGCACATGTGGAAAGGCATTGAATGCATCACAGGTTACATTATTATAGATGTAAAATGCCCCATGGACCCCTTGTGGCCAGATGCACTGATCAGGATCTATCGTATGCCTGCTTTGAGGATCCCAGCAGCACCAGACTCATTTATCGCTGTTGCAATATTTAGGATTTGGAATTAAAATAGGATTTAATCCTTAAAAAAATGTTTTTTACTTCTTTTTTTCCTTTCTTTTTTTATTGGGGCTTAAATATATTCAAAGAATAAAATGAAATGCATTACTTTGGGATGTTTATTCACTCTCCTTTCTGTATCTGGTGCACTGAAGAAGAATATTTGAAATTTATACATTTCTTTTCAGGACCATTGTTTGTGATAGTGGGGATTGGATTGATGTTGCATCAGAGGTGGAAAGAGTACTAAAAAATTGTAATCGAGTAAAAGTATCTTTACTTTGCCTAAATTCTACTCAGAGTAAAAGTAAAATTACCCATCTCAAAATTTACT